GAAACCCGAGTCACGTCGTCAAAGCCGCTGCGCGCGCCTCTCCCCCCAGCCGTCAAGCTCACGCCCTCAAGCCTCGATGCGCGCGAAGCTCGTCTCGGCCCGCTTCCGCCACCTCAACGAGACGCTCTACACGCGCCCTTTCGGCAGAGGCCCTCTCCCTCTTCACAGACTCACCCGACATGTTCAGCGAGTACCACGAGGGCTTCCGCCGCCAGGTCGAGGTCTGGCCCGAGAACCCGGTGGACGGCTACATCGCCGACATCAAGGCCCGCGCCAAGGCCCGCTACCCGGACCGCAACAGCCGCAAGCCCGCGCCCGCGCCTGCGCCGGACGCCGTCATCCCCCTGCCCCGCAACTTCAACGGCACCGCCACCATTGCCGACCTCGGCTGCGGCGACGCCCGCCTCGCCGAGACCCTCCAGCCCCTCGCACGCAAGCTCCATCTCGCCATCCACAGCTACGACCTCCACAGCCCGAGCCCCCACGTCACACGTGCCGACATTGCCAACCTACCCCTGGCGGACGGCGCCGCCGACGTCGCCATCTTCTGCCTGGCGCTCATGGGAACGAACTGGCTCGACTTCATCGAGGAGGCCTATCGCATCCTTCGCTGGAAGGGCGAGCTTTGGGTCGCTGAGATCAAGTCCCGCTTCGGGCCCGCCGCGCGCCACGCCGGCGCCAAGGGACGGTCTGGCGGTGGTGTTGTCGAGCACAGCGTTGGTAACAGGAAGAAGACAGAAAAGGTCGGCAAGAAGGACAAGGCCGAGATCGCTAGTGCCGAGGCCGCTGCCGACGGCGAAGAGCTGGCTGTCGAGGTCGACGGCAATGATGACAAACGGGGCGAGACGGACGTGTCGGCCTTTGTCGAGGCACTGCAAAAGCGGGGATTTGTTCTGCAGGGCAAGGCCGACCTGTCGAACAAGATGTTCGTCCGGATGCGATTCACCAAGGGAATGGCACCGGTGAAGGGCAAGTGTGTGGAGAAGACGCCGAAAGAGGTCCTCGAGAAGCAGAAGAAGCAGAAACGTTTCCAGTGGGAGAGCAAGGAGATCGAAGAGGAGGTGGATGAGTCGCCTATCCTGAAGCCTTGCGTTTACAAGCTGCGGTAAACATGGACAGATACCTAACGACTCAGCATGTACTGAGGGCCTTTTGAGACTGTACATAGACACGAGGGGACTTGGTGTGGCGCCACGAAAAAAGCACAGTAGACCATGTACGCGCTATCACAAAGCGACAATATTCTTTTCATTAGTTCCATTCGCTACTACAGTGTCTCGCAGTGAAGGCAAGTGGCTGTGTCCGTTCCGTCTTTTCATCGTGAGAGGAGTCGTTGGTGCAAACGTCTAAAAGGTTAGTGCGCCATTGCACACCAGCAAGTTTCTGTTTTGCCTCGGACATGCTTCATCCATCTATTGTATCTTGTCCGCGAGCGCTACCACTTTTAGCGCTGATTCTCGAAGAGAAGCCCCGCCGCATACTCGACGTTGTTTCCTGTTGCCTGGAGCGCGGCGATCGCAGGCCCACGTTCGAATCCGAGGTCGAGTAGTTGCTGTATGGCCTCCTCGGGAGCGCCAGACCGCGGAGGTGCCACTCCAGGCGCAGCAGCCGGCGGCGCGGTGGCAGAAGCAGCCGGTGGCGCGCGCTGCTGCTGAGATGTTTGCGTTGCAGCCTCCCCTGGACCAGACACGACGCCAGATCGCTGGCCAATGGTAGTACCGTCCGGGCCGGGAAGCCTTGGTTCTTCCTCCAACGCTTCTTCGGTCTCCTTCGGAAGGTCAGCTTCGCTGAGGAAGGCAACTTCCTCGCCTTGGATGATGAGCTTGTCCTTTGCCAGGTCGATGCTGGCCTGGTGGCGCTTCAGCATGTCCAGGCCAAGAAGCAGGTCTACAGATTTCCCCTCCATGACCGTGAAGCTGCAGGCGAGGAAGGAGTTGCCAATCTTAATCTGGGCCGAGTGAACGCGTCCGATAATGTTGGCAGTACCGACACCCTTGGCAATGCCGGAGAAACGCTTATCCACAAGGCGCATTATGCCACAGGCCTCGGCGCATCCTGGAGACATGATGGTTGCCTGCGCTCCAGAATCCACCAACGCTTTCACTTGGTGACCGTTGACTTCGACATCAACATAGAGCATATGAACGCGGCCGAATACTGCGAGGAAGGCGGCGTATTAGCGGGTCTGAAACCTTAGCCTCGTAGCACGACCGAATTACCTTCAGGGTTATGCTCCATGGCATTCTGCAGGTTCTCCATAACACGCTCCTGGCGGATCATTTCAGCTATGCGAGCCTGGGAAGCTTCGTCAAAAGGGTCGTCGTTCAGGCGCTGTATCTCTCTCTGCCGCTCTGCCCGCTCCCTCTGCTCACGCAAGTAGTTCTCGTTGAACATCTGCGCGAACCTCTGAGGGTCCTCCAGGACGGCAGCGAGCTGCGGCTGCTGTTGTTGAGCCTGAGCGCGCAACCGCGGGTCACCCAGGATTTGCAGCCTGATGAGCTCAGGGTCTTGGCCGGTAGCAGAACTCGCTGTAGCTTGCGCGGTGCGGCCTTGTGAACCTCGCACTCGCATGTCCCTTACATGGACAGCCATCATATCGTTGTCTGCTATTCCGAGGTCGGTCATGGTCTTGGATCCGTCATCAGAAGGTAGCAAGTTGCCGTTGTGGTAGAGATGTTGGGAAGTCGGTAAAATGCCGGTCTCTGCCTGAATCGACTCACGCAGAGTTGAGAGGGGCATTTCGGGAAAGATCTCGAGTGTTATGATGTCGTCATTCTGGGCAGCCTCGGGGTTCGTAATGTTGAGAGTGACGCGCCTAGCGCAAAATGGTCAACGGCGTCGTCTACAGTGGATGTTGTGAAAGGCCAAGAAAACTTACATGATGGCGGTTGGCTACTCTGGCAGCTCTACAAGACGTATCGTACGTAAGTAGCTGCAGGTGGCAACCGAGTATGGAAACTGTAAGGAGAGAGTGCTTGTGGTGAGC